GTTTGCTCCGCTGTCCACAGCCCCTCACCCACCCCCTACCCCCTAAAGAAAAGTTTCAAGTATTAGACGTTGATGATACTGTTTCATAATACACCCGATAACATGACCTCTTCATATCTATTCATATAGCAACTAAAATAATATGTATTGTTGGTCCATGTTAATGTACGGATAAAAACATTGTTTTTCAGTATAGGGCTGAGAGATATACGGTACCGGTACCGTATTATTGAAAAGGTAAAATAGTGAAAAAACCCAAATAGATAAAAGTTTGATTAATGACATAATGTGTCAGTGAATAAATTAGCCTCCCAGTTTTCGGGAGTCGCTCAAAATCTTTTAAAAGTGGTTCAGGGGGGGGGGGAGCGGGACCTTCGAAAAATATGATAATTTAGGGGTTTCAAAGGCTTATTTAATCGATTTTAGAGTCTAAATGTAAAAAATACATATAATGTTTTTCTTCTCCCCAACGAATTGTGGTTTCTCCCAATGATGGGGGAGGGGTAGCTCTTCCCGACGGGGAGGGAAAGGAGGCTCCCCCATCACCACTGGTGCCACCCCTTGTTTATCACATAGTATCATTTTACCACGTCTCTAATAATTTGTAAAACGCCGCTCCATAAGTGCCGCATTAAGAATGCGTAAATTAAAGCGGCGCGGTGATCATACCCGTCCAGTCTATGGTTCTTTGTTGACACTTGGCGTAAATTATCCTTCCCAAGAAACATATCCTTCCCAATGAAATGAGGCTGATTAATATCGAATAACAGATATTTCCATATCTTTACAATTTTCCAAGCTTACCTCTATATGATTACGGTAAATCTTATTCCATAGGTATTCTTTATAGACCTATTACATATAGGCCTATGCATATTCACTATTTTTGTCTGTGGGTCGATTTCCATATTTCTTCATATTTCAATTTCTCTTCAGTGTGCCGATTAGGCCTATTATATATAGGAATATATATTAACGTAGGCCTTATTCACAATCGATATTACCATTATTATTAGGCTACTCCATGTTTCACATTATAATTTTTGAATATATATACTCCATATTTTGTTCTCCATATATGCCACAGAAGTAATCTCCATATTACAATAACACGATGATATTAAGACGATCGTGCATATGAAGTTTATTTAAACCAATTACGTTTTCATATCATTTAAAATTGTGACACCGCTCCGATGTTGGTTCATCATTTTTAAATCACAAGCGATGATTTTTAAATCACAAGCACCACACGTCTCTTTCGCCTTCATGTCTCTTGCATTTTCGATCCAATTGTCTTGGTTGTTTGGTCCAAACATAATGTTAATATTACATTAACTTTTGAGATGAGGTATCTCGTTGCTGTTGGTTTCAAATTGTAAGCACACGAATGTTACTGACATATAGACTGTCCTGTACTTCTAAATGACCCATTCATTTAAATATAGAGTATTTCAGGAATATCGAATAAAATGAATTCTAGGAAAGTGGCATTTATATGTAAATTTGTTGTGAAAGCTTTTGAAAATTTACACGGCAAGTTAGACATTTATAAAACATTTAACTTGAGCAAGTTGATACCATTCAATGTTCGTTGAACGGAAGAACATGAGTCATGAAATACATTTTTATTTTTTCTACAGTTTTAAAGTCAAATTTTGTTTGGTTTCAACATCACCATCGTCATCAATCATAATCACCATCGCCATCATCATTATACTCATCGTCGCATGTCATCATCATCATCATCATCATCATCATCATTACTACCTACACTACCATCGTGATCATCTATTTTTTATCACTTTACTCTTTTTTAATTTATTCTCAACATCATAATTCTAATTCCCATCATTATCGTTTTCATCACTTGTCATAGTGAGATTTTTTTTAGTTGTTAAATAAAGGTCATGAGATAATAAATACTTTTGTAGCGCTTTATTCCTATAGACAAGGACTTAATAACAGCTTTTGACGACCTTCAAACCGTTAATTACTCGGGTTTGCAAAGTATAAAAATAACATGAAAACAGAATGCAACAAGAGAACAACAAGTACATCTCACCTGAGAATGGTAATTAAATGATATCTTTCATAATATAAAAAAATATAAAAAAGACACAAGGGAAAAACCCACACAATAAATTAATTTCATTTTTAATTACTGGACCATCATATTGATAATTCTCATCGAGTAATTGTCATCTGGAAAATTTGACGTGCTATGACGTTAACGAAGGTGTATTATGATTAATTAATAGGTCCATGGTTTTATCTTTGTGTTCTGATTTTGTACAATTGTCTCAATTCAGCATTTGGCTGCCATGTAGGCCTACAATTTTTGATGTTTTTCTGAATAAATATACCTTGAATATTCGTCGACAGATCAGCGGTCCACGAATTCACATGCGCTCTGTGTGAGAGCCTGATTGTAATATGAAGATTGTTGAGTGTCATTTCAAGTTGATTAAATGTAATGTGAAGGTGAACAGTGCAGTGGCGGATTCAAGGTTGGGTTGGGGGGGGGGGATAACTGCCGACCTGGGCCCTCCAAAATTTTTAATATGGTAAAAAATTGGAGAAAAAAAGAAAATTACATTAAAATTTAAAGCCTAAGAGTGCCATTTCTGCCCATCTAGGGGTGCCATAATCGTAAATGTTCTTACCTCAGCCTCAACCATGGTGGGACTGAGGTGGTATCCATTTGTCAAAGTCCCCCTACCTGGGCCCCCCTCTATTTCAAATTCCTGGATCCGCCACTGCAGTGTTGAGTACCAACTCAAGGTAAACATAACGTAAACGTTAATGAGCGTCATGTCATTTTAAGTCTAATGTGAATATTGAAAGTACAACCTCAAGTTGTTCAAGTATAATGTGAACAGTGTTGAGTACCAACTCAAGTTAAATCTAACGTAAAAGTTATTGAGTGTCATTTCATGTTAAGTATAACGTAAAGACTGTTAAGTGCAATCTCAAGTTGATTAATTGTAAATGTGAACAGTGTTAAGTTGAGTACCAACTCAAGTTAAATCTAATGTGTTTGTGGAGTGCCATCTCATTGTTGAGTACAATCTCAAGTTAAGTCTAATGTGAAGAATGTTGAGTACCGGATCGGTACCATCTCATTTTGAGTCTAATGTTAAGAAAGTGCCATTTCAAGTTGAGTACGGCAAGTCTCTTCGGGCAAATTTCGTACCACAATTATTAAAAATCAACAGTTAAAAGAGTTGGCAAATAAAATGCAATGCATACTATAGCTAGTAACTATGGAATTTAGAAACGTTTTTACTGAATTAAGAAGTTATTAAAAAATGGAGTGTTGAAATTTAGAAGTCGAGTGGAGGTTTGGGGGCGAAACCCTCAGACAAAGTTTCATTTTGAGAGCCTTTATAATAGGAATTTCTGAAACCCATAATATTCTATTTAAATGTACATCCATTTGGGTGTTGTGGGACCTAAAGAAGTAACGTTCTCATGTCCTTTACATCTGCAGGCCTATAAAATTGCTGTTCATGGATCAATTTCAGAATCATTGTATACTAACTGATAATTTCCGAACAAATTTTGTACCACAGTTAAGCCTATTAAAAATCAACGGTTAGAAGAGTTGGCAAATAAAATGCAATGCATACTATAGTATTATGCGATAATTAGGAACGATTTAGTGAAGTAATAGGTGGTTTTAAATAGCGGACTTTTTGAAATAGTCCCTGGAATCTCCGAGACAAAGTAGAATTTTAAGGGCCTTAACAAACCCTTAATTCGTGAATATTCTATCTAAATTTTCATTATTTTGGGTGTTTTGAGAGACCTGAAGAAATACGGTAACGTTTTATGTCCTTTACATATGTTGGCCTACAGATAAACATTCTGCATATGGATCAATCTGTAATCACCGGAGCTGATCAATTTCCGACAAATTTCATACCAAAGCTATTAAAATTAAACGGTTAGAATAGCTGGCAACGACAAATTTCATACCAAAGCTATTAAAAATAAACGGTTAGAATAGATAATACAATGCACGCATTTCGCAATAATTAGGAACAATTTTGTGAAATAATAGGTTTAATAAAATGGATATTTTTGGAATTTGGTGGGGTGCATCCGCACCCTCTGCCTACGGACCTGCTCGTGTGAGCATGTGAACATCATCTTAAACTGTTGTTGAGTGCTATCTCAACTTGATTAGGTCTGACGTTAAAAATAATGAGTACCATCTCATGTTAAATTAAATGCAAATATTGTTGATTGTCATTTCAAGTTATGTTTAATGCAAAGAATTGTGAGTGCCTCCTCATGTTGAGTAAAACGTGAAGACTGTTGACAGTCATTATTTTGACACAGATAATGATAAAGCACGCATTCATCTTTACAGGACATGAAGTGCATGTCGGTAAAAATTGAGACCATCTGACATTGGTAAATGTAAGGACATGGGAGTGCCATCTCACAATGGTAAATATAAGGACATGGAGTCATCTCACATTGGTAAATACAAGCACATGGGTGCCATCTCACAATGGTAAATTTAAGCACATATCAGTGCTCCCGTCTCTTTCCAAAATATTTGAACGTATTCTTTTTGATCAAATTTTTTCCCATGTTTCTCCTGTTTTAAGTTCATTTCAACACGGGTTTACTCCAGGTAGGTCAACTCAAACTAATCTTGCTAGTTTTTTACCCACCGCACTTAATGCAATCAACTCTAAATTACAATGTGACATTATATTCACAGATTTTTCCAAAGCGTTTGACTGCATTTTCCATTCTCAACTTATTTTTAAAATTCAAAAATTTGGTATCACCGGTCCCCTTCTTAGCTTAATTTCTGATTATTTCTCTAATCGCAGTCAACGTGTGGTTATTGACGTTGATAAATATCATACAGATCCCATACAGTATGTAGTTCCCAGCATAAGGACATGATGAATACCAATGTATACTTTTTCTATATAGCATCACATTTCACAAAAACAAAACAGCACATCTGCCAATTCAGAAATTAATATAATATTTATTTCATTTTACATTTAACATCAAATCAGTTATTGTTTTTATGTTTTCAAAACATGTAAAAAGTAACTAAATCTCGTACATGAAAAATGGTTACAGTATACTTTAGACAAAAAATAATTTCAAGCTCAACTTAAGTTGACTTGACTCCCAGTTATACTCACAGTAGAAATTATTACATTAAAATATATAATCAAACATCTATCATAGGAACTTTATAAACTGTAGGATAAATTACTCTTACAAAAATCTAGGCCAAATAAAAAACCATTTTCTCATTTTCTCCACTTTTTTTTCAAGTCCAGAAAAAAATGTTTAAAATCCAAGCTTTCTGGTAAGCAATTGTATCAAAACTTGGATATATATCACAGGGTCACATTCCAGGTGCATAATCAGGATTCCTTAGGGGGGAGGGAAAGTGTCCTGTGACAGCCAGAAATCAAGGGGGAAACCAAGGCTCTCTGGTGGGGTCAAGTGAAGAGATGTCAGGGAAAATCCCCCTGAAGCTAAAAAAAATTTTAATTTTAATAGCGAATTTTTTATAATCATTTTGATGGTTTTTGATTTATACAAGGTGGTGGTTTGGTTTCTCAGAGTTTCCCCTAAAAAGGGATTCAGCCAAATAGAAACCCTCTGGTTACTGGCTTAAATTCAGGGAGGTGAGATAAGGGGCCTGCCACACCCACCCCGATGACAGTGGGCAAAAAACATATCTAACCAAGTGTGAAATTGTTTAAATGAAATTAATATGGCTAAAACTCAGGGGCCAGGTTTATCAAACTATTTTTTATTTTATCAATATTGCTTTGCTTAAAAATTGCTTAAAATAAAGAAGTTGATTGTACGCATGCACCATCTATGATGATTTTTAAGCTAAGATTTTGCCAAGATGGTTTGATAAATCAGCTTAAAATATTTGCTTAGAGACATCTTAACTTTTTTGATTTAACAAATTTTTCATTTGCTAAGCTGAGATTGATAAATCCTGGACCCACCCAATAGGGAAAGGAACATCTCAACCTTCCAATGTGCTCTGTACCCGTGGCAGAAAGTCTTGGATCCACCGCTTGGTACTGGGAGTGTGAGGTGGTAATCTCAGTAAAGCTTAACTTAAGCTCCATTGTCTTTGTTAAAAAACATAAAATGAGAGAGAAATATAGAGGTCCTTACTTTTCCTGTTCTCTTGCCATTAGCAATTAGTGGGTTTACACCAACATAACAATAAATATAATAAAATCAGTTGCTACTGGTGAAGACAAATTTCACCTGTCTATGATTATACAATAGTCATATACTTAAGAGCATTGCAAATTCTCATAAGAAATTTAGGTATTCAATTGTTCAAGGAATTTGGTCGCAGAATGTGTAGATCGCTTGCGATCTGCCAGCCTACGTCAAGCATCGACAGGGGTCGGATTCGTCTGTCCCACAATAACCTGTATTATAAAACCCTTGGGGATTTTTATCTCCTCAATCTTTAGCTTGTCCGTTAGAAGTTTGCCTGAGTAATACCAGCGCTGTTGATGGGGGTCAATGCCCTCAGATTCTTGAAGACGACGTTTTATGTGCAAAACAGTATCTGTGGAACGTACATTCAATTTGAGTTCTTTACCAAGTGAAAGTCTTAACTTTAAGACGGCCTCAACGCCGCCTTCAGGATCACACTCCGCCCCTGTGGCGTCAGATTCGCTGTTGTCGTCCACCATATTTATAGGTGGGCTCAAGCAATAAACAGGTAGAATGTAGCGATTTCCAAGTTCATCATAGCAATCTGTAAGTGATCCTGTGAAAGGAGAAAAATTATATGTAATCAGTTACCTGCTGTAACTTGGGGATCGGATTCAACAACAGTCACTAAGCACAAGCTCGGTAGTCTAGTGGTTATGGCTCCAGGCTAGTTATCGGGAGGTTGTGGGTTTGATTCCCACCCGAATCACTTGCGTATTTGGGGACGTACTGAGTATTCAGTACGATAACATGTCAGGTAGATAATAGAATATATTATGTTACTAGTTTCTGTCAGGTGGTCGATGCATGGAATGATTTTCTCAAAACTGGTTGAAGCAAATTTTCTAAACCAATATACTGTAAGTCTATGTTTAATTTAAAGGCATAATGTCTATAAAATCTAGAAATCTTTTAAAATGCAATAAAAACGTTGAATTCCCATCAAAATGGATAATGTTATGTTACAGAAACAGATCAAATCACATCAGATATTTCCTAATCCACTAAGTTTTTACTAGTCTACTGTTACCAGTCATTTTTGCAAAATATCACTCCTACAGTTTTATTTTATATTATTAGAGATTACATGCTTCACATTATTAACTGGTTATAAAACACTACTCAGCTTCCTGTGAAATAACAGGAATAACAGGTAGTAGGAAAACAAAGAGCTAGATAATAAAATATATTATGTTCCTAGTTCCTTTCAGGTGGTCGATGCATGGAATGATTTTCTCAAAACTGGTTGAAGCAAATTTTCTAAACCAATATAAGTCTATGATTAATTTAAATGCATTATGTCTATAAAATCTAGAAATCCTTGAAAATTCTATTTATATGAGCATAATTTTAAGGCTATTATTGTTGGCTTTCAAGTCTCTCAAAAGATGGGAGAGTGGCAAGGCAGAAGACGGTTTCCCAAAGCATTAGAACTTGCATTATTTATACATCAATTCCCTTCTTTCTGCACCCTCTCCTGTAAATATCTGGACCCAACCCCAGTACTCACGAAGGTGGCCTTTTTGCGAGTTTTATTAATTAACAATGCGAAAATCTGAAAGTATAACTACAAATATATAAATATCATTTACGTTGCAAATGGGTCATTTTAATTATTAAAGCCAAGGCCATAAGCTTTCCAGTAGCTAAGTATGAAATATGGACATCTAGTAATCAAAGCATTTCAAATTCAGAATCTACCAGGGACTCGCTTACTTTTCCTAGGTAGACATACAAAACGTGCATAGATACTTCCCCAAGGAATGCATGGACACATCCCCAAGGAGGGTACGAATACTCCCGCAAGGACACAATCAAAGTGTACAGCTTCAAATTCATAACCTCCAACCTCAAGTTTGGGAGGGTGTCAGAACCACAACCAAAGAGCCAGGTTTTCCACATAAATAATTTTAAGTGTTAAATTACAAAAGTCGCTTGATTTGTGAGCCAATGTTGCTGGAATGCCCTACTTCAAAAGAAAGTTTCACCTAGTCAATCAAAAGGGGATGGAAAATCAGAGATTTATGACTTTAAGCCCCTATTCATGTTTTCAATAATTGTCCCAACATTTGCTTAAAATATTAATTATTGGCTGAAGGTTGAATGGACAACAAAGCATAGCCATTTAACTACAATCTGTGGTTCTCATGACGATAATAAAACATAATCTAAACCACAATGAGACTGGCCATTCTCTCGCAAGTGTTTGTATGGTTCTTTTTTTAAATACAATACTTTTATCAAGGACATGGTAGTTATATTCAGCTTTTATTGTTGGGAACTCCAGTTGGTCAAAACCACTTGGTAATGCATGATTTAGGACAAAGTGCAAGATTGATTTATCCATGACATCTTTGTCATAATAAATCAAAATATTTCCAAGCTAACTTCTCTACACATTAAATACAATTAAATGCACAATAGATTTTGATAACACTTAAATACTAAGGAATGTGTGAACAATTTTGTCTGGCTTGCAATCAGTATAAATATTAATTACATGTCTTAATAATTATAGGCCTAGAGGATAACGCCCTTTGAATAGGACACGGGAAGGATCTAGGTTTAGTAGGAACATGTCCTTTGAATACGGTCACTGATGAGATCTATGGGTAGTAATGTGCTGAGTGATTTTATATATTTTGTTATATTTTTTTGAAAAACATTCTGAAACAAGCATTTGCAAGTACAGCAGCTACAAAATTATGGCTGGGAGATGTGCACAGGGTCACAAAAAAATCTTAAGTTCAGTAGAATCAAAAGTTTTAATGTTCCCATGAAATACTTTTTTTGTGAATTTCTATGTACTATCTTATAACAGGACTTCAAAGGAGTAATAATTTGTGAGTGTAATGATCAAACACGGCTGGGATACAAAGGCGGCCAGCAGGGGCAGATCCAGTAGGGGGGACACGTGCCTCCCCCGTTTTGCCACTAAATTTTAAAATTTCAAGGCATATATTGAAATTAGCGCTCTCACTCTATTCTGAATATGTTGTGCCCCCTCCCCTATTTGAAAAATTCTGGATCTGCCCCTGGCCAGAGTAGTCGCAGAATAATCACACACCTTCAAAATTCATCTTTACTGCCCCTTTAAATAGCAATGATGCTTACCACGAAAAGGGAGACCCTCTTAACTTCTTTCTGGCATTGCCTTGACTGATAATACACATCCAAAAAATGGAAGAAAATATTTTCATTGGGAGAACACTAAACAGTAATGCCACAAACAATATTTTATATAAATAATAAATAAATATATTATTCACATACCGCTTGGACAGGTTATATTAGCTCCATCAACGATGGCTTGCGCCAAGTCAAAATCGTTGGTTTCGAGGGCAGTGGCTGCTCCTAGAAGAGCATCCCAAATTTCCTTCCTGCCTTCATAACAAGGTGCTGTCTCCCAAAACTCATCTCGTTTACTTCGTAATTGTCCACTTGTTAGAGGTACATCACTCTTCCACTTGGGACTCTCCTTCTTCAATGGCTGATTTCGTCCAATAGGCACTATTAAGAAAATAGAAACAAACCATATTTTGAACTTGGAACAGATGGAGAGAACAGGTGCGATCGCACCCCCTAAATTGTATTAAGAAAAATAACTGTTGTATTGTATTGTTGAAATATTATTTTTATCATTATGAACATAGTACCATTATGATTTTTAAAGTACGAGAGTGCAATTTCCGGGAACCTTAAAATTTTCGCACCTCAGCTTCAACCATGGTGGGCCTCGGGTTGTGTGGACTCTTACGCACCCCCTACCGCCAAATCCTCCATCGACCCCAGTGAACATTGAATTCTGTGATAACCTAATAAGTTCTGACTTGTTATAATTTAAGTATTATGAATTTTATGAGAAATAAATTGCATATATGTTCTTAATAATATGAAATATAGCATGTTGTAAAGTACCACAGCACTTATGCCCTATATTTTATAGAGGCACTTAGCAAAAAAAAAAAGATGTTTTGTGCGATGCTTATTCAAGTGCGGAGCTTGTATAAGAGCAATTATTCCAGAGTATGGTTTCTCTGAAGAAAATCAATGCAGAAAATTTACCAGTCAGATTACTGAACAGTTTACATCACAACATTGCACTCTTTAATAGATGTCTTGACTACTCAATGACATCTTTTGAGCAAGGAGCTTCAGGGCGCTTCAATTACTTCTTTATCTCACACACTTGCACTTTTTTTATTCAACAATATAATATATTTATATACTCCACCTACATGCTTTCATCATAGACATTTTGCTAAAATATGAAAATCATTTGCTGGCTCTTTTTTTAATCCTTTAACAAATTTGGTAAGCAAGAGCAATAAAAAAAAAACAACCCTCACATTGGGATTTTATTTTTTTTTACAGACATACATCTTTTACTTGGCCCATTCATGTTATTTTCTGTGTATATTTATACATATGTATTTTTGATGTCATCTTGTTTTTTTTGTTTTTTTTAATTTATATACATAACAATGATTATTTACTATTTACAATTCAAACTAAATTTTTTAAGATAATATACAGTATTAAGTTATTTTCCTGCTGCCAGATTGGCATACATTTGTATGTGTTAGGAGTAATAATAATAATTGCTTTCTAGTTAAGATTTTAATTTGTAATGATGCTGTCAGAAGAGCCACCTGACAGTTTTTTTTAATTTTTTGGCAATCCTTGGAAGGCAACATCATGTTTTGTTTTCATGTTTTTCCAGAAAATAAATTCGAATTGAATTGAACCTGTAACAGAATATAGGCCTACATAATTAAATACAAACAAATTTCATAATCCTCCGAATCATAGAAAACAATTCAATACTGTAATTATTGATTTTTATGTTAATAACAAGACCATAAACTACCAACTAAATCCCATTGCCATTTTTAAGAAGAAAGCGAAACGTTATTAAAACATAAAAAAAAACCACCAACTTACGCACTTGGGGCGTATGTATGTGTACAATAAAACACTGTATACTTCAATTTCAATATAATTTACCAGGTGTAAAAATAAACTGATTGAGATGGTCAAAATCAATGTTCAAATTGCTTATGGTGTATTAAGGCTCTCAACTGAAACACTGAATGACCAAAAAAAAATGTTTCCAATAAACTGACGCATAATATTAATAAATATTGTTTCATTATTATTTGCACATAGCTTTACTCAATTTTAAAGGATTTTTAATATACATAAATAAGTGGATGTGTGGTATTTGAGATAATTATTTAGAAACCACACCAACTGGTACATTGAATTTAAATAAAATATTAACCTGTTTTGAATCACCATGCACCCTCTTTCTTTCTCTCTTTTTTCCCCTCTTTTATTTTTTGGGGGCTAGCCTCAATGCACCCCACCACCCCGGATCTGCCCTTGCCTTGAATGCCTATTGTTGGTGGATTCATGGCTTACATAACACTCTACCATTTAGTACTGACTCAATAATTTTGATATCTAACAGGTTACTATTCCTACAAACAACAGCCTTAACTTTCACCTCACACTTACCCTTCCCAAAATTGTATACCCTTAACCAAATGATTTACTGCTGTTTCCTCCATTACATTTTTATAGATTATGTATGTCACTTCCTGGTTCACACTCAAAACCAGCTTGTTGTAAAAGACACTATAAAAATACGACATCTATTACATATAACCCCAATGCTTTTTACAATTTATGAAATGAATGATATACTTATTTTAATTTTAAACAATGTAGAATTATATTTATCAGCAGTATGATATAGATTAAATTTTACGAGTTTCTGAAATCGGAAGAAACCCTAATTTGTAGTCGCAATCTTAAGACTGAATGTAATCATGCATCCTCTTTTTTTGGGGTCAGTATCTCAGGAACCGCATAATGTATTCAAGATTAACTTAAGAGGTGAATCGATCAGACTTTATGAGGGTAATTTTGTTAATGTTTCCTTTTGACCACAGTATATTATCCCTAACAAAGAGTTTCAACAAAACTCCGAAAGAGTTACCTGGAAAACACAGGTTGGTTTAGTCGCATAAAAAATGACCCAGAAACCCAACATCTTATCACGCTCTATACCATTTGCTAATGCAATCTCAAAGATCTTTATTGAATTTCCCTTTATGTAAATTATTTTACCTTTGTTCATAGAGACATTTTTATTACTACAGTACAAAATCATTATATCATTAAACGAGCATCATGAAAGTCAAGAATGCAATTATGAAAAAAAAATGTACTGTATAACAGAAAATTATATTAACCATCAAATTATTTAATTGCATCATTAATGTGAAAACACAAATTTATGTACAGGTAGTATTTCCAAAAAACATGCATAGATCAATCCAATAGACAACGGCTAAATAAAAGGCAACAACTTTAAATTTGAAAAAAATATATTTAAGCCTAATGAGGGATGCAAGTCTATGTAGGGGAGGTGTAAAAGGTATGTGTGTATGTGTAAATGAAGGATGGGTGCATGCATATCTGTGTGCATGGGTGCATGCATATAGGGATGCATGTATTTGTGTGTAGGGGATGTGGATTTGTGTCTGTGAATTGATCTTCCTGGTGACTCTAGACAATAAGTCTATAATCATATTATCGTCAATCTATTTATCATATTATTATTAATGAATATTTTATATAATTTAGAAATGGTGAACTTCCATGAGTATCTTAAAAAACTATAAAAAGTTCCTAAAAGAGGGATAAGATATGAACACGTTATATTTTCGTTTTATTTGCGGATTTTTAGAGCCCAGTACGGACTCCAAAAGTATGCATTTTCTTTTAGTTTTAAGGCGTATGCGGATTTTATAAGTCCGCAATGAGGATATAACATGTTTATGGAAAAATGGACTGCTTATTGCTATATTTACAGGAGTAGATGATGTAGTCTCACAAGCTGAAAAGGGAATAGGAAGGACATGTGAAATGCTTGTGCGCAGACAGATGATGGGATAGCGATGCATCAAAAGAGAGGTAAAGTTCATCAATGGTTAAGATGGTTAGAAATCAGGGAAATGTGGAAGTTAATGAATTAGGTTAGGACAGTGAAAGATTATGTAGATAGAAGACTTTGAAGAAGCCATCCCATGAGTAATCTATATTGCAATTGTTACCAGTTACGAGTGGGTACTAATTTTTTTTTTGTACTTCCGATCACCACGGAATCCTACCACGATTCCAAAGACACTGATTGGCTGAGATCTGTCACATGAGCCTGTCATAACAATAATGTCACTGAGAAATTTGGTCTGCCTGGATATTTTTGAACAGGAATATTCAAAGGCCTATTGCATTCTTTGAATCAACATTTGACTGATTTTTACTCACACGAGGTAATGCAGTGAAAAACAAACCAAAGTGGCGCAAATTAACTTTCCTAATCAATAAATAACCATAAATCATAGAATTTGAGAAGAATAAAATTGCCAGTATTCCTTCCAAGTTGCTCTGCCTCGGTTGATTACAATGCAGACAGAAAAAAATTTGTCCCATCCATGTAAAACTTAGAAAAATATTTTGAAGCAATATTTTTCTCCATTTTTCAAAAAAATTGTTGCTACCTCATTATTTAAGTGAAAATATCATTGTGTAGTGCATGAAAAATGCCTATCAAAGCACCAAATGCAGAGGTTATTCGCACAACATTAAGTGCACGTTCAAGATTGAACATGGGGATGAACCAAGACTTTATATACCTTGTTTAGCAAACTTATTTTTGTTAAAGGACGTCAGGAGGGGGAAAATTATTCTGATTTCTTTACGTTAAATACACAGAGCATCTAGGCCACAGGGGGGAAAGTCCAAACGCAGGCCTGCGTAAATTAATTAAAAACCCTATGTTTGAAGCCCGCTACATTCAGCTAGAAAACACCTCACACCTCATTGTCACGGCATATGCCAATCATCTATACTATAATGGGATTTATGCTTTACAAATAGATAATAATAATAATAATTATTATTATTATTTATTTTCATTTGTTTAACTAACAAACAAATGTTGACACCTAGGAGAAAAGCCTGTATACAGATTTCGGTAACTAACTTAATACTTTTGCAACTCAATTACAAACAAATAACAAACATAAATAGATACATTGTACTTAACCTGCCTAACTCTCAATATGAAGGTTATTCGAGGAGCCAAGCAACCAGACTCCAATTAAAACCTGACACTGGCCGGGTTTTAACCGGGATCTTCAACACAAGCAGCAGGAACTATCCTATAGGAAATTTCTTGGCAGAGGGTGCAATAAAAAATGTTATTTTTCTGAAATTTCAACACTTCCATGGTGGCAGGTGCACTAAACTATGGCCAGATACAAAATATTATCATAGGCGGGTGGCTGGTTTCATGAAAAAAGGTATAAAAGTCTTGCTTAAACAATAATACAATGATAGTACACAAATTATGTAATCAACCAATGGGAATGTCTTATCTCAATGTTAACATCAACATCACTTGTGTCAAGAAAAATGCTGATTTTGTATATAACATAGATAATCTTTTTTTCAAATGTTAATGTTAATTTAAACTAAAAAATGATGGATCCAGTTAGTTTCTATCCTGTATTTGGCGTTGCCATCTGTAAATTACATAACCTGTCCTAGCACTAGGCTAAATATAAACATATTCTACCCTTTTTCACAAAGCTACATTAGTCAACAGAAAAATTAATAATGCATGTAGTAAGTATTAATATTATATTGGAACTACAATATCTATATAAAAATTTGTTAGGAGAGGGGAGGGTCACACAAATAATAAAATAAAAGGTCGTTCTCCATCCATCATGCACAACCTCATTTCATTCTCAGTATCAACAACGATCGGGATGGGGAAATCTGAAACATATATCTGACATATACTCAGTCATAATATTGTATAGGACTATAATGACTTGAATTTATATAGATATAGTGTTGATTTTCCATTCCTAAATCGAGTGTTAAAGTGTTATTAATTCACTACCACCACTGCACATCACACAATACAGTAATAGTAATACTGCTGCACTGCGGGTCTGGGGCCCACCATGGAAATCTTACTCGAACCAATGGTTCCATCTGAAGATTCACCTCGACCACTCCCTGCGTCGTTTGATGAGCTGAAACAGCCACCCATCTTTAAATGGGTGCTTAATCCCTGTTATCCCAGCAATCAAGATGTCACTTTGTTCTCGGTCGAACATTTATTTGGGGTTAACATTAAACACTACCAGGTTAGTCTACTGTAGGCCTAAGCCTCACTTTTGTTGTGCTACCAAAATAAGAAGAGCTCGCAGACATGACGACACAAAAATATTTCGTACAGCTTCATTTGAATGATGTTTTAAATCATTCAACGGTATATATATTTACCAATTAAATAAATAGTATTATTAATTATTTTAAAAATTAATGTATTTAGCATGATTATATAATTTTATGTTATTTATTTCATTTAATGTAAATAAGTTGATGGGGATGCCTTGAATTTAAACAAAATGGCTGCGCCCGTGTGGCAGGCAAATGTAGATGAATATGTATGGGGAAACCAAGAAAGTAGCCTTCTGGTTGTAACAAATGGTAGAGTTTTGTATTTATTTTGTATTCGAGAATTGTAGTAGGGAAAAATTCGATTAACATTATGGTCTAGTCCCCTATGGCCATGCCCTCTCTATCTAGGCCCTCTAGTCTAGGCCTAGGATAGGCTAGATATTTCAGCCAAGACAAGGAAGGCTTTTGTTAGTTAGGCTAGCCTACTGCCTATGGTAGCCGATCCAGGCCTAGTGCTAAGTAAAATAGAAGGCCTAGCCTAGTAATTAGTCTTGGAGGCTAGGCTGTGTACGTTTAGTTGCCAGTTGATTGGAGAATGCATACTAGAGAAACAGTTGTTTGTAAGGTCAGTCTGGACATGATGAAACTGAATCGTTTTTTCCCCAACAATGCCCACAATTGCTGTAATGATGAAAATTGACAGATAATTTATGTATGAATGATGTCATATGTTAAAAATAATGTTTTACAACTGCTGGACTACTCAAATTAGCTTTTATTTATATTAATTTGTCCTTTTACTTTTTCAACAGTGATAAATAATAATGAAGTTAAGTTGCTGGAGCTCATAGAATATCTTGGGTAAGATTAAGAAAAATTTATATTTATATGATTTTAAATTTTGTTATCCTATGAATGTATTGAATGTGTTTTACTGTATTTAATATGCAATCTTTACTCATTTCAATGTCATGATTAATTTTAGAATCAATGTTAATTGTTTATGGTTTGTTTAATGAGCAATCATAATTATTTATTAAATATTTTATTTTATTCTAGAAAAATGGATATTTTATATATGAATATGTAGAATAAAAATATAATGGTAATAATTGTGAGGTACTGTAAATGTAATAATTCGGATAATATAAAAAATAAGTAATAAGAATAGTAATAGGCCTAATGAAAAATAATTTTCTGGGTAATTCCCTATCATTTGGGTAGTTGTCATCTGGGCCAAGTTGGTTTTAGGCTGAAGTGTTATCTGGGGCAGAGTTTTTTTTGGTCCTAGTTGGTTTGGGCCGAATTGGTTTGGGCCGATTTGGTTTTGGGCCAAAGTGACTTGCTACCCTTTTTGAGATGGGTTTCTTTTCGAGGCTACTTTTGCAAAGTAAAGAGGGGGGATTTTTTTCAAAATGAATGCTGTAAATTTTGGAAATTACTACTATAAAACAATAAATAGGGCCACTGTTACATCAATTTGTATTATTGAGTGTATATCACCGAAACTACTGTATAAACAAAGCATGTTTTTAATTAATTGTGTTGCTTTGAAATCATTGTACAGTGTATGTACTGTACTATCTTGGAAAAGCATATGCTATCTTGAAAAGAAGCCCATGGCCTTCTTTTCGAGATCAGCTTCTTTTTTAGGCTAATTTTGCAACCTAAAGAGGTGGCTTCAATTTGAGATCCGGCTTCTTCTCCCAATGGGCTTAATCTTGAGGTTTTATGGTATTATAAATTTTTCAGTCAAACAAATTGAATGTGTGTGCTTGACAGTTGTATTTTACAAAATATTTTTTAAAGATACAGTAACTCAAAAACAAAGAGCTGATGGTTACATAAAAAATAGCAATTGACCTTGTTGGGACTTTGAAAATTAATTCACACACTATTTGTTGTTATAACTTTAAACTGTATAATATTACTTATTAATATTTTGCAATAAAATTGAATTATGTAATTGTCATTCGTCTATTTAAATTTGTTAATTATTCATTCATTCATTCAAGGTATTATTTATTTTCTTTAATTTACAGACTTCATTGTAATGTAGTTTAAAAAGATAAGATGCAAGATTTAAACAATTGGTGAAAAAATGGAATTCTTAATTGTTTGAAATGTCAAACTATTTATAATACAGTATTACCATTTAATTATATAAAATTATAAATGAAATAATTCATTCATTTATTCAAATTTATTCATTATTCATTTATTCATTTATTGAAGGTTATATTCTAAGTAATATAATCTAGAGGGTAAATGGAAATATTTGACAAAGAAGTTTCATAATTAATAACGATTTGAATTATGGCATTCTTAATTGTTTAAAATGTCAGTTGTTTGAACCTTCTTTACAATAACATGTGCATGACAAATTACACTACAATGAAATGTGACGTAATGCTTTATACCAAAGTCTAAAAGTGCTCTAGAGGTGTGGTCTAGCTCGCACAATGAGTTGCTTCTCCCCTAAGGGTCTCTTTGTGTCTGAACTACCTGTTAAACCGGTACCAGCTATTTCTCGTCTGTTCACACAACAGGGGCTGTATAACCCAGTACACTGAGTAACCCCTACTCGTCTCAAAAAATATACTGGGTTTTTTAAAGTGCACACAAGCAAAATTGAGTACACTAAGCCTTCGGTTTATAGTCTCTATCCATAGACAAATGCGCTGTTCGAACCAGCGCCAATATTATCGCTGTGCATTGCGGCACCCCTGCCTTAACCGATTTGCCATTCGACTCGTATAATAATAAGTTATTTTGAAAGTGGCCATGGCTATATTTTCATCATTTATGTCTATAGCCTTTTGTATTTTTTTGTTCTTTGATTGGGATAATTATTATAAAGTATTGTATTATCTGTTATCTAACAACATTTTAAACTCTAAATATTTTTACTTGTTCTTTAGACGGCCAATTGTGATCGGCTGGATAGGTCTGTCTAAAAAATATAAAAAAATATTGTTGAATGAATGAATGATCAAATGAAAATATGATTTAATTATAGAATGAATTAAGATAATGATAGTAGGGAGGATAAATGGAAGGATGAATAAATAGTTGAAAGGACTTTTGGATGGATGAATAAGTTAATAATAAAAGAGAATTTATCACACATCATACAAACCAAAGTATTACTATATTTTATACAGTATTTTAAAAGTGTTGTCATCATGAGGTACGATGTGATTTTACATCTGTTGTAATAGTTATTGTACACATTAGTTCTTGAAGACATTTCTTGATAATATTTAATTGACAAAATCATATTGAAATTTTAGAGAAAAACATAATGCTATGTACATAACTGGTTTCATCCATCAATATGTTAGTTTCTTGAACCCCATACTTCACCCCCCCCCCCCACTCTTTTTTGTTTCATGTTCCTCTTGGGCTCTTCACTTTTTTTTTCTTTTACAAAATATTCGATTGAGAAACTTTGTTTGTTTTGCCTAACAAAGAACAAATGGATGTGGATTTTTTTCTTATTTTTCAGAAGACACTTGTTGAGTACAAATCATGATATCCGAGCAAGGGGCACCCGATTTCTTTCTGAAATCTTGCACAATATTCCAAAAGACAAACTTACAACTCCAGAAGGTCAGTATATCTCATTAAGTGAACAGTTTGAAAAAATAACATAGAGTTTTTATAGATTATAACCCTAAGTATCATTGCATATCAAGGCTTAAATGGAGTAATAACAAAACAATTATCTCAACCACTAAACTACATTCACTACATGTAAATAGCATGCCTATAGCCCATTTCCTTTTCGTTTATAGGCTCCTTAATTTGTGGCCTAATCAATTCTTCATTTAATAAATTCTTTAAAATATTTTACTCTTTTTAGATCTTTTTTATTATAATATTATACTTATATTAAATATTTAAATTTGAAAAGTTGGTTATCATATTTATTCTGTCTGGTTCATATTGTATTTAAAGCTCTTTCCATCAAACTACCAACTTTTATTTGACTATATTAGCAAATTATTTTGATATTTACTTCAGTGTTTTGAGTGAATTTTTAAAGAGTTTTTTTTCTAGATAATCTATATATAAGTCTAAATTATATTAGATATTAGTTAATTAACACATATTATATATGATTTTAACTTATTTGATGTAGTTTCATTAATATTTTTTATAGTTGGTCATCTGGTGTCATTCTATTGTGATAGATTAAAGGACCATCATTCCGTGACCCCTCATGCATTGATGGGGTTACTGGCTCTGGTAAATTCATCTTGAGTTTTATTAACTTGTTTTTATTTTCTTACTATGATGATGGTGACATAATAACTTTGCATCTTTTTAATATAAAAAAGTGTAATTTAGATAATATGTATTGTGTAACAACTATGTTATACCATATCATTTTTGTATTACTTTGTATATTATTAGATTTACTATATGGTTTCATCCAGCCTTCTGTTTAAATTAATGTTTTTAACCTGTATTGTATTTAAAATATATTTCAAAGTATGTTTTTTTCCCAAATTTTTGTAGAGCGACTGTCAGAATCTCGCTGTTGGTGATGCAGTGTTGATGGTACAGGCCATCATAAAAGAAGTACATGTCCAGACACTAATGCAAGTTGACCGTCGATCTGTTTACAATATTGTGGAAAGGTTTCTAGATACCAGGCTGACCGGTAAGAAGGACATCATTTGATCATTTGTATTGAAGTCTAATTAACAGTATTGATAATATAGTATTTGTATAAATGGATGGTGTATGGATGACAATGTATGAACAAGGAAATTGTGTGTTTAGTATCAGAACAATAAGAAAGACTTTTTTCATATATTGTTTTGCAAATTTATTTTCTTAAAGATTGTCAGAGTAGGGCAGAAAAAAAAAAATAAACTGTAATTTTCTTATTTAGCAAATAATTTTGCCAAAATCAGGTGGAAGAGAAAATAAAAATAAAATTTTATTGGTGAATGAAAACAGTGTAGTAATGGGATGGTTAAATGCTTTCAATTTATCGAGTTCAAGTTCAATTTATTGTCATATACTAAGTAAATGAAATTTTTTTTCCAAGGTTCACAATTAAAACAATGACATACTAAAATACAATACAAAGGATACGATATAAATTAAGTTAACCTATGCGTAAAATGATATAAAATATTATAAATATAAAAACTGATAAACATTGCATAAAATTGCACTATAGTCGAGTAAAAATATATAAAAGTGCAGTACAATTACATACTAGGATAATATTTAAAATATCTCAAGTTATCTTTGAAATTGCTTATTGTATTGCCTGATTGCACACGGAAGAAATGATTTGTTATGACGTTCAGTCTTCTTAATTCATGAAATAATTCTACCTGATTTACTGAAATTAGTATGATTAAGGATGGGACTTGTCATTAATTATACATTTTAGTTTTTTCTCTTATCACAGATGTCATAGATAGACGGAACGTCTGCGCCTATTACTTTCTTAGCCATAGTAATAATCCTCTATAATTTATTTACATTATTTTTAGATAAACTATTTAGCCATACAATACAACAAAAGGTTATTATGGACTGTATCATAGCCTGGTGAAATAATATTAATAATAATAATTTATATAATTAATAATAATAATAATAATTTATATAATTAGGAAGAAATATACATATCATATTTTTGGAGATTTCAATAAATAATTATGTAAATGTGTATTGTTGATTAATATTACAGAATTGCAGAAATTAGGGAATGATTTTGTGTATGGCTATATGCAAGCAATGGATGGTGAGAAAGATCCGAGGAACTTAATAATTGTGTTTAGATGTATTCCGATCATTATTCACAATTTTCCATTTGGTAAGAATATGTTGTTATACACTAAGAAATATCTAAATAATTTTTCTTAAGAAGAGTGAAACCAGAAATAAAATGGCATTGTCAATTTTTTTTGGAGTGACCTTTATTCTTTTTATATGACCTTACCTTCATTAAAAAAAAGAGATATTCTCTTAACTACAGTGCAAGCAAGATATTGAATAATTTAATGTTCAGATTTGAACAATAAAAAATGTTTACAGAAAATTAAGTTGTTACTGCTTAAGAAAATATACAATTGATTAAGTTGTGGCATCCATAGCTATGGGCATTACCTCTGACAAATGCCCCAATGTCAAAAGATACTTGCACCCAGTGGCGTATATAGGGGGTGCACAGAGGGGTGCACACCCCCAAATAATTACTTGTTCCCCCACCCCAAAATCACCGTTAAGTAGTTACCTTATTTTTTGCAAGTTAGGCCCCTTCAATTGATTATCGAAACCCCCACTTCACCTTCACTCCCCCACCAACCCCCTGCCCCCTCCCCATTTCAAGACTCCTAGATACGCCACTGCTTTCACCATGGTGCTGAAAGTCAAAGTTAATTTTTTTTTTCTAGATTCTCTATTCATAATTCATGTTAAATGATGCATGACAATTTACGGGAAGTCAAGGGTAATCAAACATTATCATTTTAGTTATTTTAAATTTTAAAATATTTAAATTCAATAATTTTATTTGCTTTCTATTTATAGAGAGGTTTTCTGAGGAACTGTTTGAAGTTACCTCCTGTTACTTTCCAATTGATTTTAGCCCACCCTCTAACGATCCTTACGGTGTGACAACACAAGATTTGGTCCTAGGATTACGAAAGTGTTTATCAGCTACTTCAAAGTTTGCTGAGGTAAGACTAATGACGGCTCCAGACTGAATGATAGCATTTTAAATATCTTATGTAATGTCATAATTATTTTTCACTCAGTTGACAAGTATCGGTGTTATATATTTAATTTTACATATTTTATATATTAAAATATGTAATACAGTATAACACTCATATTGTGTATTTTGTATTTTAAAGACTGCTTTTAATAGTAATTAATACATAAATATTTTAGAAATTTATAATTTCCACAAATATTTAAATAGTTTCACCAATTGGTGGCGATCTTGTAGTGGGGACTGTTTGCAAGTACTTGACTTCACCTCCTCCAAATACCATCTCAAATCAAGGAGGCATTACAATACAATGGGAACAGCCCCCTCTCTGAATAAACAGCTCCGTATCATGTTAATTTAATTTAGTCATTTTGATTTAGTTCTTTTTCTTATTTGTTCTTGTCTTTATATTTATCTTTTGATATCGTTTGACTCACATCTATTAGTGACACTATTCTCTCCATAACAGGCATGGATCCAGCAGGATCACCCCCCAACCCCCACTAAATTTTGAAATTTTAGTGCATATCACAAATATCGCTACTCACTTATCTAATCATGAAAATGTTGTGCTCCCTGTTCAGGATTCGCCACTGCATAAGATTGCCTGCAGGCTGACTCCACACTGATGCTGGCAGTAGACCCTGCCAAAACATGTTTGTTACATTGAGCCTAGCAATAGCTATATCAAATTAGTTTTTTAAATTTCCACACCTGTTTTTTAAACATCTGTGTCATTTATGTAGATAAAAAAATAAGGTTATTCAACACCTAGATATTAATAATTAATTATATCAAATTACAGTACAAAAGCTAAATTTCAGTTTCATATATTCAATGTAAATTCTGCTCACTAGACTATGAACTTAAATAAATGTGCAATAAAAATATTGTCTATAAAATATATGTACTAGTAATCAGGACTTTAAATCAAGTAACCAAGTACAATAAAAAAAGTTGTCATTGTTCTTATGTGTTTTTTTGCATGTTTTAACCTTTTGGTGGTCAGTAAAATTATGAAAGATTATGTAAATAATTTCGAAATTTACAATTTCAATATCTGTTTTTAGAACACCTTATATATTTTATAAAGGTCATAATTATGTTTTGCAACACTTACTTTTTGTGTTACCTATTGTAATTAAAGCAATTACAGTCAAGTCCGCCAAAGTCGACTCTGTTTAAGTCGAAAATTCGCGTCAGTCGAATTTTTTAAAAAGTCCCAATTCTTTCCTATGTATTACTGTGTAAATTGTTTGTTTAATTCGAATTTTTATAAGTCGAATTTCGGCTATATCGACGGAATTTTCCTGTCCGGATAGGCTGATTTTAAAGTAATTTCAACCACACAAGTCGAAGTTCCAAATTTAGTAGCGCACGTGGGAAAAATACACAGCCGTGGAAAAAAACAAAGTTCAATCCTTGTTGTACGGCAACAAGTTAGCCATGTCAAACTAACATCTCAGACAGCGCGCTGTGGAACTTGGCTCACATGATCGTATGTCGTAAGTTGCAGTCTACTCTCACAATACAGACACCCCTCCGGACCGGCTCCAATGTTCAGTTTTTCGTCCAGTTTAGTTTGTAAAACTTGTACTGAACCCATTTCAAACAATATTGTTGTAGTCACGGCCTAGCTATTTAATTAATTTATCAAAGCCCTGGATTCTTTTGACTGCCTAGCCTACGCAAATTCAACACATTTATTTAATACAGTAATACGTACAGTACCTGTTGTTTTGCTGTACTGCTCAGCAAATTTAATTATTACCAATAAAACTGATGCGACTTTTATTTATTGTTTTTGCTTGCATTTCTTTAGGTCTGATTATGTTTTTCCAAGCACACATTCTTCGTTGGGCAATGCCACTTGCTGGCCGGCAGTCTAGTTGTAAACAGAACAGGTTGCGCCCCCAAAAACTCTTCCTGCCCGCCAATTGGTCCATTTTCGTGGGGTGTTTTGCAGACTAGACATGTGCTTCGGCTGTGATGATGTCAGATCGCCCAAAGTTTTATAGTGCGTGACAGTAACAAGCTCGGTGTAATCAAGAATGTTTTAATTAAACAAATTTATAAAACAAAACAAAAACAAATAAGAAACCCTTATGGTATATTTTAGAGTCAAATCTAAATAAACCTAACAAATTATATTTTATTCTCTACTAATTTTCTCCGTAATTAAATTAGCAACATGTTTTGAAAAGCGTCTTGAGTTTAAAGAATGAATGAGGCGCATTTGAAATTTACACCGACGAATCTAACGAATTTGAATTAGACGTTAGATTAAAAGCAAGAATATACATTTATTAAAACATTGGAATGCGTAAATTTCACTTCATAATTAACCAAGAAAACGTCTACTGGTGTGTCGTGTTAATCAACAGATAATCTCCATGGCAATGCGAGTATAGCTAAAGCGTCTCGTTTTCACCGCGTCTGGTATGCTTGTCGTTAAACGATGTCTATTAGACTATTGTCTGGTTTTTCGAGTGAGTGTTACAGTCCTGAATTGGACAAATCGTTCGAGATTTGGAATAGGGAGTTTTCGAAAAATATTTTATTAAAAGAAGAATAGGAATGAGTTTGGGACTTAAGAAAATGTTTGGTTTTGCGTGAAATTCGATTTTGTGGGCATTGAGTACACATAAGTATTGTTCTATGTTAATATTATTTTTTTTTCAAAAATGTGCAAGTTGAAATCTGTATAACTCGAACTTTTTATGCCAGTCCCATTAGATTCGACTGGCGAACTCGACTGTACTTCTGTATCAATTCAAATTCCTTTCAGTTGATCAGGCTATTAATTTAAAAGTAAGATATTGAAATTTCGGATTTATATATTCAATGTAAATTCTACTCACAATATGTGTGCAATAAAAATAATGTCTATAAATTATATGTACTGGCAAACAGGACTTTAAATTAATTAACCAAGGTTAGTTTAGTAATTATTATTTTTATTATGTGTTTTTCGCATGTTTTAACCTTTTAGTGGTCAATAAATGAAATTACGAAAGAAAGAAAAGGCCAGATGCTTTTTTCAGATGTGCATACAAAACTCGCAATGCAATTCTACTGTAATTATTGGGAACGTAAATAACCTGTTAATATCCTATTTTATGATTACCATTACCATAATTCTAAACGATAGCAAGGAATCTCAGTGGCGAAAGGATTTGAGAATGGGGGGGAGGGGGAATGGTGTGGTAATTATATTAAAAATATGAGTCTGAGAGTGCCATTTCTGATCATCTAGAGGTGCCTTAATCATAAATTTTCTTACCTCAGCATCAACCATGGTGGGACTCAAGGGGTGTAGACCCTCCATCTGTGAAAGTCCCTCCCTGGGCCCCCTCTATTTCAAATTTCTCGATATGCCACTGGACCTTGGCAAAAGGCATGGTATAAATTCCTCTATTATTATCTTTCAAGGAATTGTTCCTTTTTGCTCTACTTTGAATCTGTCTGAGTTTTGAGCACACAAAATAAAGACACATAGTGAAGCCTGCAATGCGAGCTTCATTCTTTTTATTTCTATTCTATGACAAGTGCATAAAGAAAACAACAATTCGCACATCGTTGTCATAGTTTGTTATTTGTGTTGTTTGTTGCACTGGCCCCGCCTGCCCCCCCCCCTTCCTTCGGTGGTAGTTGTTACACTCATTCAGAGATGCTACATGTGCACAAAATGTACAAAATACAGGTCTCCCTCCAATTAAAGACCCTTTTTGGATCGTGGTTTCCATGGTTGTTAGCAGCTTAGGTCTTTAATTAGAATAACCTCCTTGGAATAATAAAGATAAAAGATATTTGTGAATTTTGAACCACAGAAAAGTGGTCTTTAATTGGAGGTGGTCTTTAATTAGAGGAGTCATTAATTAGAGGAAACCTGTACAGTATCTTGCAAATTAAAATAATGTCATCGAAAACAATGCTGTTTCATTCTGTTAGTGTTATACATTTCATAAGCAAATGAAATGTATCCGCAAAATTGAAAAATATCAATAATACATATTTTTATTTTTTTTTAGTTTTGTTTACCAATGCTAATGGAAAAGGTTTCATCAGATATACCAGGTGCGAAATTAGACTCCTTTCAGACACTAACAGCCTGTGCAGTGTCATATGATGCTAGCTCATTTTCTGGATACGTAGAAGCCATATGGTCAGCCTGCCGTAGAGAGGTATGTTTAACTATAAATCTATTTGATTATTGTGTTTATTTCTTTGTTTTATAAATCTATTGTACAAAGTATTCTGACTTTCTGCATGATGTGTTTCTACAATTATTTCAGGGAGAGTGACAAAAAGACTGTTCTTTAGAATCACTAGACAAGCAAGTAGGATTATTGGCCAACAAGTTTCATCACTTGACGTAATACATAAAGATTTTATCGTTACCAAATTCAAAATATCCTTAAAGGATAAAACCCATCCTTTGTTTCGCAGTTTTCGAGCTAGCCCAATAAGTTCCAGATTACTCTTTTAAGAGAAAGCCTAATACAGTGCGTTACGGAAAATCCTTTATTCCAACCGTTATCAGAGTGTTTAATGAAACCATTACTAGATAAGTTTAAAATAAAAATGGAAATAATTACGGTAACAAAGATAAAATAATAATAATAATAATAAATGATACTAATAAAAATTATGAAATGAAAAAATTAAAATTATAAGAATAATAATTGTTCTTTTTAAACAAATGTTTGTTCTTTAAGCCTTTATGTTTTTCATGTTTTAACTTTTTTACTATTTTATATTTATATATCTATTATATATTAATTTTATTTATTGTATTCTGTTTTATATTTGTTGTTATGCCATGGCCAAATGAATTTCCTGTTGGATATTGAAGCATTTTTGAATTTGATTTTTTTGAATTTTTGAATAATGCTATTGTTTGTAAGAATGGCTGTGATGCATTTCAGAGTCATATCCTTATTAATCTTTTTTATTTAATCTTGAAAAAAGTTAAAATATGTTGATATATTCTTTGTTTATACCAGTGTGCATTTTATTATTCTAATTTATTAACACAATTTTGTAGAAAATGGTGAATTACATAATTAATCTAAGAATATTCATGTAATACTTATCATATTAGGATTACTTAATCCTTACTTGTTACCATTGTGTTTAGTATAGTTAGAATTGAGAGCACTATTCAGACAAGTTTTTATAATTATATCTTAATAATAATAGTTTTATAGCATGCATATATCCATTCACATAGAGAGGAACGCAGCAGATGGTATAGTATTGTCCTAAACCTATTAAACAACAAACCAAAGAAACTAAAGATTAAAAGGATTTAATAACAGTGAAACCATCATTACCGCTCCATGTAACAGCGTACTGTAGTGAGCTAGCCTATAACACACAACAATTTAAATCTATGTTACTATCCATTTCAGATAGTAAAAAGTAGTATAATGACTGAGCTCTTTTATAATTGTTTTACTATATTATGAAATATATTTTCCTATTTGTTCTACTTGAAATTGAAATACTTAATTGGCAACTCTACTAACTAGTATCAGATACATTGTTCCTCATTGTAAGGGGTATTTGAAAGAGCTGAGTGATCATACGACAATTAAAAACCGACGCTGTCCGGGTTAGAATTGTGTAAGAGGCAGGAAGATTAAAACTATGTAGAGGTCACTGTTAAGTCACATGTTTCTATATTAATTACTGTATATATTTATAATTACCACAGGTATTTCAGCAAAGGGTGCTGCTCAGGCAATGGCTACGTTCACACGTACCAGCCAACGGTTAGCAGGATCCAGATAAATAACATACACTCTCATTCTTGCGTTCTTTAATGTTACCATAGCGTTTCATGTAGTATAAAAAGATTTAGGCGGCACTGCAGAGTGATATTTATGTTTACTGTTACCATAGGTATTTCAGGCTGTAAACAAAGATGTAGAGGCTGCTGCTTTAGAAGCACTCCGCCATGTAATCAAGAAGTACTCATCTGCAGTATGTGATCAATCGTCGTCTCGCACACTAGAAAATTCATTGGATATCATACTTAAAGGTAACGTTATATACAGAGGTGGGCGTAAAAATTGTCAGGGGTCAGAGCGGTTAATTTAACACTGAGTGCCACAAGCAAACGTATCGTGAAAATTTGATCTTTCCAGCGTGCTTTCAAAAACTTCCTTGCACTGCTTTTAGACTCCCTTATGCTCAGTTTTATTGGAACTTTCTACAGATGTTCGGCGCTAGACTGTAAAAATAAGGGATTTTCTACCAAAATACAGTAGGAAGGCCAAACACAACAAATTTGCCATCAGGCCGCACTTTGCCCTCCTGTCGGTGTTATAATAGGGAGGTTTCAAATTACATGACGACGTGATGGTAGAACAGATTCACTCTGGTGTCACCATCGTACTACTCTGCACAACATATATTTGGTCAAATAGCATTCATGTGCAGATGACCTCTTAGTGATGTCATTACATTCTACGTCCTACCGCGTTGTGCAATTGAAAGCTCTATAATACCATTGATGGTGGTGGTGGTGGCAACAGAAACCTCAGTGACAGTGACTAGAATAATCTGTGTAATATTCTGTGTAGAAGCGGACAGCAACTAGTTATTGTAAGAAGCTCACGACAATGTGGGCAAGATTGCTGTATATTGTTGTTTTTAGTATCATTGTTTTGTAACTATGGTTACTATTTCAGAATGCAAGCAATATATACAAGAGCCTGGACTTAGGTTGATGATGCCATGCTGCGCTCTTCTGCAAGCAGTTGCCAGTGCTTCTGATCCTGCATGTTGTAAGGTTTTGCACTCGGTTATACCTCAGCTGCTGGAACAATACCAGCTTAACACCCAGGTAAGTACTATCTATCTAGATCCATATATACATTATGTAAAAAATAATACCAATAACACAAATTTACTTTGACAACAGTCTGGTACACAAGGATGCGATCTCTCATGGTCTGTAGTTAATGAAACTAATTGTTACAAATCTTAATATTTTCGTGGACACTTACCTAAACTAGAGCAGTCACTCCATAGAGTGTATGGGAGGTTCCACTATTTTTTTTATGCTCAAGGATAAAAAAATAAAAAATTCTATGATATTTTTCCTTTTTTTAATTTCTATTTTTTTTTATTCAGAAAGCAGTACAAGTACAACATTTTGAAAAAACTTAAAATAAAATTAATAATATGTGCCAACAGGGAAGTAAAACAAAAACATTAAAAAAAAAAATAATATCACCTCAAAATAACGTATGCAAACCTTTCATAAGTATTTTGTGTATGGCTGTTACAGCATACTATGAAAATACCGGTAGACTTCATTCACAGAGGCTTTAATCTCAATGTACATGACTCCATTAACCTATTTTCTTTCAGACAACCAGTCGGCGAAAAGTCCTTGATGCGATTCTCAGCCTCCTCACCGTTACCAAGGATATGTTCTCATCAGCAGATGTCAGTCATCCAGCCCTGTCGTTCAAAGATGACATCGTCGGTATCCTCTGTAGCGTCCTACAAGACACCAGTCCAGAGCTACGTCAGACTGGTGTACGAGGGTTTGGAGTACTTGTGACGCTGGAAGCACTGCTGGTTGCTCAAGATCTTGATTTGGTTGGGGAACATCTGGTTAATGGTCTGTTTCAAGATGCTGATCCAGCTGTCAGGTATTAATATTCATGATTATTATGAATATTTATGAATACATTAAGATAAGAATAGATAAACTTTATTGCTCCAAAAAAGGAAATCCGGTACTTGACCTAATATATATAATATTGACAGTAAAAATATTACAACAATGATCAAATGCAGTAAAATACAATATATACAATATTTGTTGAAAGCTTTTACACCTTGGACAATGAAGGAGGAAGTATAATGACATGTGTGTGCTGCCGGTGGCCTCAGTTTACCACTTCGGACAATCTCAGAGTGAATAATTCCAGAGTTAAGTGGATGTGTCGCGTCTTCAATGATACTCTGAAAAGTCTCCTAACCAATGATGATAAACTGAGTTCACCGACAGCCAACACAAATCAGTCGCTCTCTCAACCTGTTGGATCAGACGATTGATTATGTATGATAATAGCCCAGGATATCTTTAAGAGACATTTAATTGTGGGTCATGTGAGATTTTGTTTTACATGTTTGTGTCACTTGTGTTACAGTATCTACATTTAAATCATAATATTGATAGTAAAAATAATGATAACAATGATGAGGATGATAAAGTTGATGGTGATTGATATTAATAAAAATGATAAATTCTTTTTGCACTGGGTTTGATGAATCTGATGTTTATTGTATAAATACATACAACATGAATATCAGTGTATTTAGCTTACTATGTTGTTATATAAAAATGACTTCTCTTGTATTTGCTTCTCTTTTTATTATTTTTAATGATATTTCATAGATTGACTAAGTAATCTAGTATTGTTTTTTTTTTTATACCGATAGAGTTCAGTGTTCATACTCACTAGCAAGCATGTGCTCCAAACATCCTGATATAGTCAAAACAAAGCTAATACCAAGATTATCAACAACACTGAGAACAGGTCAGTTTTTTTAATGAATTTTATTTTTAACAAGTTTTTATACTCCTTAATAACAATTATTAATATCTATTTATGTTACATATTGATTAAACATGGCAGCATACTCAGTGGTGGGTCCAGGAATTCAAAATAAATGGAGCCCAGTAAGGGAATTTCACAGATAGAGGGTCTAGGTCCGGTATAAAAGATTAAGATTATGGCACCTCTAGATGGCCGGAGATAGCATTTTCAGACCTAAATTTGAATATAATTTCTTTTTCTCTCTACTTTTTTATAATTTTGAAAAAATTAGAGGGGGTATTTTTAGATTATGCATGAATTCTTCTTTAAAACAGTGTTTATATAATGGAAATTGGTTGTGTATCAGCAAAGTTGTGAATATTTAATTCATTGGATATCGCCATGTAGTTTTGAGAAAACAGCTTCCTAAGACTCCAACAACAATAGTTTATTATTAAGATTTATATATTTACAATAATTTTAATATATTTTTCATTTAGGTTTAGTGATTGAAATTTTGCAGAAATGTTCTTCAATGTATCTTCTTTTATAAAATGCAAAGACCTGAATTCAAAATTCTGATTAGGTGCTTGTGCGAAATAGAAATAGAAAATAATGATAACCGGTCACATATTTTATAGTTATTGATGAATCGATTATCTTTCATCTAGAATTACCAATAACCAAGGTCTACACAATACTCCATAACATTTATTATGTTTTTCTATTGTTCTGTAGGAGCTGTTCCCATGGAAACAGGAGATACTGCATCAAAAGATTCAGTTATAAATATGCTAGCTACCATAGCAACACATTCTGATGTTATACAGGCTCTTGTCACCCAATTACTAGACTATATTTTCAGTATCAGTAAAGGTAATGGAATACAACTTAAAGGGAGGTTTTTGGTAAACTGTAAAATTATTTTGTCTCATCAGGATTTCAGGTCACGATCAGTGGCAGATCCAGGATTTAAAACAGAGGGGGCCCAGTGAATTGGTTTTTTGCAGACGGCGAGTCCAGACCACCTCAGCCTCACTGGTTGAGGTTTAGGTGCTATGATGCCTCTAGATGGCCAGAAATTGCACTCTCAAGACTTAAATTTGAATGTCACTTTCTTTAAAAAAAAAAAAAAAAAAAATTAAGGGTCCTGGGCTAATTGGACCCATTGAATCTGCCTTGGTTATCTTTACTTCCCTCTACCACTTTCGTTGTTCACAGTCATTCCAATTTAAAAGCTCTGTATGATGAATAAAGAGTGGTGTTCTTTCTGCGTCTCTTTAGTTGGCATGGAAAATATTTTATCATTTTATTGTTAAAATTTGTTCACACCATCCACCATTACTTTACAGTAACGTACTTAGATGAACATAATATGGCAGGCCCCAAAAGTAGAGAAAAAAATTACACAAGTAGAATATAACTTACATGTATACATATATAAGAATATACAATATTTCTTTTTCTTATTATTATATAGACTTTAGCAGTGAAGAAATTGTAGGTGTTTCTCTTCAGTGTGTTCTCGATATAGTGTTGAAAACAAGCACCAGGCAGAATGATGTTGAGTTTTATGTAAAGAGTGTGTTACCACAGTTGGTGAAGATGATGGTGAACAGTTCCTTATCAGTTACTGGACAAACGAGGGAGCTGTTCACTCAAGAAAATATCATTAGGAAATGTGCTTCCATCATTAGAAATATATCACAGAATTTGGATGTGAGGTTAGATTTGTTTTGTATTATATATTGATTTTAATGCTTTAATTTACTTTGTTGAATAAGATTTTTCAAACATGTTAAGATGAACTATACTGGTAGTGCATTTGCATAACAGAACTCTTTTTAGTTTAAGTAGTTTAGACGAGACTTTTTTGTATACCTTGTTCAGCAAACCCGCCGCCTGCCAATAACGATGCTTGGAATAAAAATGAAATTGTATTTTTGGAAAATTAGTACACCCGCCACTTATGCCCACTTCTGCCTTGAAACCTCCAAAAATATTATAAGTATGATACTTCCTAATTATATAAATTTAAAGCATTTATCCATCCCAGTATTACACGGTTTACAATCACCAATAACATTTTATTTATATTTGTTTGTGTCATTTGGCAAGACACTTCACTTTACCAGGTATTAATATGCTATGTTTTTATTTGTTTTTCAGGCTTGGAGAAGAGCTAAGTGAAGGAATTATCCATGGTTTTCTTGAGAATGATTTTACACATTTTGGCTTCAGCACCCATGAATTTAAGCCCTTTTCTGTAAGTAGCTTGTACTTCCCATAGACTAGAAAAACTACAGATATAAAAACCTAGTCATGTGAATTATGGCTGTATTGGGTATTTCAGTGATAATAATGTTATTTATAGTTGTAGTGTTAGTAAAATTTATTTTTTATTTCGTATAATATAACATTATTCCACCTAGATCAATGTAAGTAACTGGATAAATAGAAACAAGGTGTAAAATATCGTTAGTATTAAAACCATGTAAAAGGATACATACTGCTAAGTTTCGTTCTACATCTAAAATATTAACTAAACTTACTGCCATAGATATTTCTGACAACTGGCCATTGTCAGCATGAGGTCGTCCTTGTAAATTTTAATTTTAATTTTAATTAACCGACTATTATTATAATAAAGTCGATCTATGAATCATTCTTCCTAATTGATTGATTGATTGACAAGTGTCAATAAAATATTTACATCTCTGTATTGATGCGTCATAGGTTGAATCTCCGTGGCAACAAACTCAGCTAGTGGTGCTTCTCCTAGCAACAGTCTGTTCCGTCCATCAAGATGTTAATCTTCTCAATTGTCCAGTATTGGCAGAGAGATTATTTATCGTAGCAACACAGAGTGACCATGGTCACACACAAACATCGGCAGCTCAGTGCTTAGCAGGGTTGATCAACAAATGGCAATCAGGTATATTTATGGGTTTATTTATTAGAAATAATTTTCTAAGCTTTAGGCAATTGTTCGTAAGTTCTACATCTAGGGGCTTATATTGCAATCGACATGTTGACAAGGACGCGAAGCCCCACCCACAAAGTCACAAAAACCTTAGACAATGGCGGCTAGACTTACCGAGTTGGCGAAGATTTTCTTTGCTATCAACCTTCTTTAAGAAAGAGAATTCAGGGTAGGCGGTATGCAAATGAATCATATATTCATAGTGTTAATCTATTTCATGGAACATGGCGGGGAAATTGTTGTAAAAACCTTTGTATTTCGCTCCCAAAGGAAGAGGGAAAAGCTGCATTCAGTCAACCTTGTTGTCGGCAAAGGCCAAGTCACTGATGCGCAGTGCTTGTGTAAATCTGGGTATCTAATACCAAGTATAGACATCTAGGCCCAGGCTCACGTATGTTTTGCATTTAAACCAGCTGTCTAAGGAAATTAAAATGTCTGAGAAAAAGTTTTTGTTTACGTGACTAAATGACGCTCGCTGATTAGTCGGTTTATCTGTCAATCAAATCTCATCGAGATGTTAATTGGTATAATGCTAAATATAACTTTAAAGTAGGCCTGTCTACTGATAACAATGGTGGAGTTATAATATAATCATTGTCATCAAATCAGCTGTTTGTATCGAAAGCCTGTATTCCTTAAAATCACTACATTTTTTTTACTGCAATCGTTGCCTAACGTAGCAGTCGCTGATACGACCAACCAGTCAGCATCACCGAAAGCTGTCGGCAATAGCATGTAGCAATTTTGTGGAAATCAAGCAACTTAAAAGGGGCCAGTTGGGCAGAAATTTCCTTCTGCTGAAAAAATTCACCCCTCTTACCACTGTGGACACTTCTTGATACACCCCTGCTTTTAGTGCCTCTTTAGTAGCCATTTTGTGGGCATATTTGGCACATTTTGTCTTCCGTTAAGCTTCTTATTGTAGTGGTGTTGTACTGGTGTTTGTAGCCATCTTGTAGCAAGACATTTCACAAGCATTATCTTGTAATTTACACGCATCTATGAATACAAACGTATAGTAATAACCTTGTTTTCAATAGACGAAACGCCTAAATAATTAATAAAGGCAAGGTTTTCCTTGCACCAAATATAATTTGTATAACCAAATTAAATGAAGAAAACAAAAGAATAAAGAATGTAACATAAAATAAACTTGAGGAGCAAACATTTCATTAATAAACCAACTTTTGTTTTCCCTTTTAGACGAGGAATTGTTAAGATTATTAGAAAATTACAAATCAAGATTGGAAGAGATAGTAAATGATAGCAATCAGTGTACAGAGGACAAAAAATGTGCAGCAATGAGGACATGGAATTGGGTATGACCTTTGAACCTGTATATTCCTTGTTGCCCAACTACTGGCGTAACAATACATTGTTGGTTAATATGTAGATTTATGTTTCAATATTAACCTTTATTACAGAAAATAATGAATTTTATATTCACTACAATCTTGACTTTAAAATGTGGACTTTTTCCAATTTGGGTGGGGATAAGTATGCACCAATTGCACCCACTGTGGATATAGGCCTATTGTCATCTTTATTGCTATATAATTTATATTGACACTGCTTCCGATAGATTTATTGTAACACTCTACTATTATTACAGAAAATTATGAATTTTATATTCACTACAATCTTGACTGACTTTAAAATGTGGACTTTTTCCAATTTGGGTGGGGATAAGTATGCACCAATTGCACCCACTGTGGATATAGGCCTATTGTCATCTTTATTGCTATATAATTTATATTGACACGGCTTCCGATAGATTTATTGTAACTCTCTACTATTTTTTTATAATTTTTAATGTGGTTATATCATGGCATTATAATACCATTTTTTCATTTTCATTCAGATCACAAAAGCATTGGTTTTAAGAGGTCACACTATGGCATCGCAATTTATATCAACAATGATCAGCCATCTTGGAAGAATCAACTTGGGTCAAGTTGCTGCTGATGGTTTTAAGTGTGTGGTGACCGAAGTTCAAGAGGTCATGACCTTAGCATCACATGCTAACATTAGAATTATGTATCGTCAGCGATTTTTCTTGGAGACGATTTCAAGAATTTCCTCTGGATTTCAATCAACACAAAAAGGTTAGAAAATTGAGTTTTGTGTATATATATAGGAAGATTGTATTGCATTCTGATTTAAATCCGTGTGACCCAGGATTTGCTTGCAAGGACTGAGTTGTATTAGAAATGTTAATTAAATAATTTATGATTCCTCTTCTTTAACTTTGACAATATATTAAATTCCAAAGCAGATAATTTTGTAGGTTGCCAATTGTGAATATAATAATAATATTAATTTATGTAGCGCATATAGCACAGTGCTACTATGCGCTTTACATCAACTTATAAATTATGAAGCAAAAAGCATAATGACTTAAAAAAATGTAATATGCTGTGGTGGCAAACAGCGCTGAGTCTCAAAGCGTCAACCATCCACCGTTGAACTGATGCAATCCCAGTCCCCTGCCTAGGTGGTGTGAACAAAGGAGCAGGTTTCACATTTACCCTGCCACAGGCAAGGTCAAGTTGCTTAGAGTCTGCAACCAAGATAGTGGCCCCAAGAGAGAGAGAGAGCCACTCTGATGTAAAGGAACAAAAAGAGACAAATTATTATACAATTATTTGTTGGAATAAATGAGTTTTGAAGTATTGACTTAAATGTGTCCACTGAGTGTGCTTGTCCTATAATTTGTGAATATAACAATTCCAAATTGGTGTCTATGTGTGTATGTCATGCAGTGGTAAAACTTTGGGTTTCCAAGAATCTAAAGACCAACAGAAGCTTTCCAATAAGTGGTCTGACATATTTTGGCGGAGGCCAGCGAGATCCACAGGCGAAGGCCTGGTAGCTGTCAGGGGATTAGGCCACATGGCACCTTGAAAAACTGGGCAAATTTGGCTGATTTCAAGCTCTTCTGATACATTTTTAATATGTATTATTCCCGAAGAAAGGTGTGCCATGTGCCTTGACTTATTTCAAGCATTTGTGAAGACATTAAAATTACAATTTTCAAATATGTTGAGTGTGTGTTCAATTTTGTTTATACTTAAATATCAGAATTTTATTATTTTTTTCAGAATGTACGAAGTTTTATTTACAAGCAATGTCGCACCTTCTGCGTAGTGTTACCAAAGCTGTTCTACTCAATGAACTTCCTCCACTGATGCCAATGATTGTGCATTCCTTATTATGTGAGGATCTGACCCTTAACCTGTCCACATTAGAAGTATTATCAACTCTCATAAAGGATGCACCACAGATCGTTTCAAAAGATGTCGATGCTCTTCTACCGCAAATGATGAAGTTGGCCGGACGTGAACAATCGATGGTGAGGTTACCGAAAATCCTGAATAAGCGCCACTCTCGAATAAGCGCCGCACCAAGAGCAATTTTTTTTGCTAAATCAGGAGTGGATATTACCATGTGTGTAATGAAAAGCACCACGTCAATATTTTTTAAATAAGCTCTGCTCTCAAATAACTGCCGCACTGAAGCCCCTAAAAATTTGATAAGTACCATGGCGCTTATCCTAGGATTTGCGGTAATCAATAATTTATCAACATTGTCCGTATTCGACTGGTCGTTCTCCGTTAAAACACGCCCACCTGCGCAGTGGTAAAATCCTACTTAATGAAAACAACCAGTTTAATAGATAACTGGTAAATACTTGACAAAACAAAATGGCTGCATAGTTGCCGTGATACACGCTGCGTAATCAAGGCAGTATGTGTTTTTCGTTTGAAAAAAAAAGGTTTTCATCCAGTTTTTGAATTCTGTTAACCTACAATTATTTTTTTACTCCAGTGTGGGTAAATATCCAGACGGGGGCACGTCCCCCTCCATCTGTCTGGATCCGCCCCTGTATATGGGCATGGTGATGTTACAGCACATCCATATATGGGCAAATCACACAAATTTATCATATAAAATTTGATAAGGCGGACAGACCTTAACTATAAAGTATAAATGCCCAGTAAATGGAGAAAACAAAATTAAAGGCCTGTTCACATTGTCAAGTTACTGGTGTAAATGGAGAAAACGAAATTAAAGGCCTGTTCGCACTGTCAAGTTACTGGTGTGCTAAATATCGTTCTTGTGATACTTTGGTTTTTTTCTTCAGGTTGCACGTATTGCAGCTTTGAAGTGCTTAGGTGACATCACTACCTTACCACACCATATAGTAAGTATGTTTGTATTGAATGAACTACAAATGGACCTTTATGTTAACCCCGCCCCCTGGATATTGTTGCTAAGGTCCCACAAAACATGCGCAGACACGTGCGTTTGTGGGACAACACGTGTGCTTGTTAGACACACGTGTATTCCTGGCCCTAATCTGATTGGTCAGTTGTTAAGTTTGGTTTCCACTCTGGAAAGTCCATTACAATAACTTTTGAATCTTTCATTCAGACTTGCACAGATGATACTGATAATGAAATAGCAATTCTTCTGGCAAAATCCTACATTCGTCAGCGTTTAAAATTGGCATCATGTTAATGAAATAAAAGATACTGAAAAATGATTTTGCCATATAACTATCACTAATTTTAACTGGAAAAGATTTTCAAATTATATTTTAATTACTGACTGCATTAATTTCTGTGTTTAAGTTGATAATTTTTATGTTGGTTTATGTATATAATTTGTATTTATATATATATATATATATATATATATATATATGTTAAGTTCCTTGTATCTTTTGAATTTCTCAGGTATTTCCGTATAAGGAGAAACTGATACGGTTCCTTGGAAAACGTTTAGATGACAAGAAGAGGATTGTGCGCAAAGAAGTTGTAAAAGCAAGGAATAAATGGTATTTTAATAAGAATGATAATAAAATAATAAGAAAGTAAAATAATAATAATAATAATAGTTTTTTTTTTATTCAATTCAATAATCAAACATAGAAAAATGCATAAAACATATACAAAAGTTAAAGACAATCAAAGTAAACTTAACCAAATGTAAAACCTTAGCTTAAAATTTAAACTGAAATGTCTTAATAATAATAATAGTATATTGATTTTTTTTTTCGAACTTGAGACCAAATAAGTTTAATCCAAGATTAATAATAATTTTATGTATTTATTCACAATAGTTTACAAGAGTGGCCCAGTCATTCAAAAAACTGGTCTCTCTAGGGCTCTTAACATTTCTTCATAACATTTGAAATAAACACACCAAATATACTTTAAATATAAACAGTAGTAAATCTACTTCTAGTACTAGTGCTTTCTAAAACAGTTGGTTTCAAAGTTAAGTGATGATTTAATTTGCTTGTTGTTTTCTATAATTTTTCTCTATTCTAATTGCTCTAATCCGGTGATACTGATTTCTGTTTCACAAAAAGACTTGTTCAGTTATAAATATCGCTTATTCGCGAGTGGCGCTTATTCAGGATTTACAGTAACCTCACCATCGATTGTTCACATCCGGCCAACTTTATCAAAAAATGTATCGAATAATATTTATAACTTTTTTATAACTGACAAACAAATGCCGAAACCAAGGAGGCAAGTCTGTATACAGGTTTTTGAAACTGCAGAAATTAATTACAAAATCTTTGAAGAATTATGCAAATTGCTGTACAAAGACGATGATATGCGGTTTGGCACAACAGGAAGGGTTTGGTTTCCCAACCTCGAGGTCGGGGTTTCAATCTCTCGCTGTGCATTTCACTTGTGTCCTTGAACAAAGGCACTTTATCAGCATTGCTTCTCTCCACCCAGGAGTATAAATGGGTGCCTGGTGGGATTTCCTGCTACTGCGCCAGTATGGCAGCAACACTAAAGCATATGCCCTGAGACAAGCGCTTTGTAACCTAATGGAATAGGCGCTATATAAATACTAAAATAACAAATAAAATAACAAATAACAAAATAATAATAATGATAATAATAATAATAATTATGATGATAATAATTAATATAATTTTATTTGACAAAAACATGTGAAATGCCTAAATATGATCATGATGACATCACATCATGATCATGGTGCCTCTTAACAAAGGTTATAATAAGTGTTGAATATTAGGGGAAAAAAAGTATTCATGTAGATCCAATTGAAAACAAGGTATTTTTTTTCTTTTGAGTTACTTTGGATTTAAACCTGAGTTTTTAATTGATAAATGAATAAAGGGTATTGTATAGTTGTATGTCAAAAGGTCATATCTAGACATGATCAGCATACCAGTGGCTTTTTGGACACTTAGTTCCATTAACAATAACTATTATTGAACAATACATCAGGTATGAAGTATAAAAATGTTGCTGGTCTACTGCTTTCATCTGTGTAGCCTAGTGAAAGATTTTAATGATTACATGTTACGAGTGTCATTTTTTTTTTTCCAACAGGTTTCTTTTAGGAGAATTGAAATCATGAGCAGACGACAAAACTTTGATTTGCAGACGAAAAAGAGAACTTGAATCCAATTGCTATTATGCAATAGAGAACCCGATATTGTATCAAAAGTAAAAGTTAACAGCTGTGTGAGGGAAAGATTTAATATCAGTGTAAATGCAAAAGGGTTAAGAACAGTGTCACGAAACAGTGGCGGATCCAGGAATTCAAAATAGAGGGGCTGAGGGAGAAACTTTTACAAGAAACAAATATAGGGTTTAGTTCACCTCAAGCCCACGATGGTTGGGGCTGAGGGAAGAAAAATTTATGATTGTGGCACCTCTAGATGGACAGAAATGGCACTCGCAGACTTATGCGTGAATATAATTTTTAGTTTTTTCTCTATTTTAAACAAAATGTTGACAAATCGAGGAGGGCCCCAGGCCGGCTGGGTCCCCCTTCTGAATCTGCCACTGGAAAAGAGAATAATAAATGAGAGAGGTGAAAAGGTTAATAGCAGTGTGAGGGAAGTGTTAATAACAGTGTGAGCAGAAGGCATTAATAACAGTGTGAGGAAAGAAACTAAAAAGAAGTTTGTGGGGAAGGCCTAGGAAGTTTGAGAAGTATGAGGAAATATCAACAAAATAAAGTGCATTAACCTGGGCCAGACTAGTGTACCATTAACCTAATTTAGAAGAAAGGAAATTATAAGAATATGTACACGATCAGTGACATCTGTTAATACAGTTATGTTACATTTATGTGGGCCTCAACAGCAGCCATAAAATCCCTAACCAAGTCGAATGGTCGTGGTTAAAGCAGGGGCACCGCAACCTACAGACATAATATCGGCGCTGGTTCAAATGGCAAGCTTGCCCATGGTTCAGGAGTTCGAACATGTCTTGGGTAAGGCCTATAAACCGTAGGTCCATCGTACACAGTTGGCTCATGTGCACTTTAAAGAACCCAGTTACATATTTCGAAATGAGTAGGTGGGGGGGGGTCCCCCGGTGTACTGTTCCATACAGCCCCTGTTGTCTTGTGATGGGATTGCCACTTTGGAGAGTGATTTAGTTCACTAAAATCACTATGTCATTCCTGATGATGACATAATTAATGTCGAAATATTGAATCCCAACACGATGGCGTGTATTTCAATACTTGGAATATGTATTATACTTTCTAGTTCACTGTTTTTCACCAAATTTCACCAAATTCTTGGCCCTAGTGCCTAAAGCTGAATAAATAAATGTGTCAAGCCATGTACATAAGAAAGTGTAATAGGGAATAAGCCCTGGAACCCCTTCAACAGCAACACCACAAAATCCTCCTCTCTGACCATAGGTCCTTGATTGCCACCCATCCCCACCCCACCCTCAAAAATCTGGATCTGCCACTGGTTTGGATAAAGCAAACATTGGTTTTACAATGATTATTTCACTTTGTTCTGATGGCATTTTGTGTCCTGGAGAAATAGTACGAATCAATGTTTGCCCTTCATTACGTTTTATAGTACTGAATGCTCAGTACGTTCCCAAATGCTTGAGAAAAAAAAATCTCACAAGTGATTCAATATTTTACTTTGGTTTTAACATTACTGTTTTGTTGCAGACTTTGACCCTTTCGATTATGCACCATAGCTCTGTATCACATGCATTTCAGTTTTCAAAATTATTTTTTAAAAATGTAAAAAAAAACCTGAAAATTATATTCAAGTTATTATATAGGAGGAGAGAAAAGGAAAAATATTGCCATTTCCGACCATCTAGAGGTGCCATAATAAAAAAAAATCTTACCTCAGCTCCACCATGGTATAAACCCTCCATCTCTAAAAGTCCCACCAGTGGCCCCTCTATTTAGAATTCCCAGATCTGCAGTTAATAATTACGAAGAGGAATTAGAATAGTATGTACCGAGCTGTGGAAGTCAATACGTATACTCGTAATATAGTACGGTAAACTTACGAGTAAACAAATTCTTTTTGTATACTGTTTTCTGGTTTTGAATGTTTATGATTTTGCCATTAAAAATGTAAACATAATAACAAATGGTCTTGTTTATGTGTATAGTTTTTGTTAATAGGAGAAAAGGAGTTTTCAAATACTGTACTGTATAAAACTGCATGTCTAACAAAGCAGATGTACTCATGGGGGTATACCTTCATGATGTATTGTTTCCTAAAGGCGGGCACACCCTGCATTGTACGCCGGTCATACGACGATTCTTTCTTCCATACTCTGAACGCTTTGGCGACGCGACGCTCGATTGTCGGTGTCCTATGTGCGAACCATAAAATTCCCCACATAATAATTGTTTAATTTTGGATAAAATAGTCATGGTGGGGCTATAAGGTTGTTTTACACTGGCATTTTTTTCCGATTGTATTATACACTGTATTATGTCTTTGCTGTTAAGTATTTGCTGAAGCCTGGAACTGTAAAACCTTCCAAGTCTTCTTAACTTCTCCAAACGTAGATTTAATTTCGCCAAACGTGGGTCTAGTTTTTTCCCCACTTAGGTCTAATTTCTCCAAACATTATTGTTTCCTTACCTTAGTTCCAAACCAAGCCATGAACAGCTTCGTATCTTTTGAATTCATTCAAGGTCTATTTTCATTCAGGTATAACATGTTTCCTACTGCGGTACAATGCACTATAATTCTTTTTGAAGGCATAACAAAGTAATTCATATATCGGCTCGCAGGTTTTTGTTTTGATATTTTGAAGTATGTTCAACCAGGGAGTTGTTATTTAGATATTATTGTTCACGTTTTTTAATCACGTCAGGTGATCATACTTAATGAATACGTTTCAGATTTACTTCACTGCAAGTTGATTGTTCTATTGTTGTCAGCATCGTACTCATGAAATAGCCCAATAGGCCCTAAACGAAATCAAGTTTTTGATTTGACCTTATTATGTTCTCAATACCCTTGAATATTTGTTTTCGAATATTTTAGAGATATTTCTGCGCGTTGCAATACCGTATCTCTTTTAAAACATCTCGGAACGTATTAAGAATTAGAGTTTCGCTTATAAATAGACCCCACCCAGTCTGTCTCTAGGTCCGATAGGTGCCTTTTAGGACACTCAAAAGTACAATACAAAGTACTTAAAAGTCGAATACAAAGTACTTAAAATTCGAATACAAAGTGGATGTGATCATGATGTGATACACCATCTCGAGTTTATTTACCCAGCAAAGTGCACGAGGTATTTCTATCGTCGATCATGTGTGCATTGTCCTATTTAAAAGTATTGCATTCGTAATTTTGAATGTTTAATGTAAAACAATGAAGGAATTTTCGACTTATGCACGGTCAACATTGTTTGAGCGAGGTTGACTGGGTAAATAATAATCGATGAATCTTGTGCGTCCCCATCCCCTTACGAAAAAGCTCGAAAGAACTCAACAATAAAAGAAACTCCTCATTTTAAACACGATGTAACTTTTATTTATTTTTAGCTAGTACAGTATATCCTATAAATTTGAGCTATGTTCCTGCCTATTTTTTTACGATTTTGGAGAGATTGGCGACAGCAATCATGAGTGTAGATTCTAGGGTTTGGGTGGACAATGAATTTTCGTCTTCGTTCGTAGCTACGTCTGTTTATTTATTTATTTTTTGTTTTTTAAATATTTTAAAATTGAAGTTAGAAGCAGCTGAGTTTCGCGACCCTCAGAAAAGTTTTGTATAGAGGGGAGGCCGAAGTTCTGCCCTGACCTACAGTATTGGCGAAATTTGACCTGTTTTGCGAGGCCTACGTGTAGATATTATTTTCTCTTTCTTGTCCTGTTCATGTTATATAGCTTTTACTGCTTCGAAATTGGCGAAAAACCTAGATTTTAGGCTTAAATTCCCCCGCCCCAATCGGACTGGTCAAGCACGGCTACGGCCCTCGAGGGGGAACATTTTCCCGACGAGAACAAAGTGGGCGTGGTGGAACGTCGCTTTAAATTCCTCGAAAGTGGTCTAGGGGCGAAGGGGATTCAATGGCTTATTTAATCGATTTTAGAGTCTACTAATATGTACAAAATACTTATAATTTTTTTTTCTCCCCGACAAATTGTGGTTTCTCTCCCTGACGGGGGCGGGGAAGCTCTCCCCGACGAGGGGGCCTCCCCCCCCCGCTGGCGCCACCCCTGTAAACGTCCCCTCACATATTTTTTAAGGGGGAAGGGTTGGTCCCGTCACATTTCGTGAGTCAAGATCATATACCTGAAAATAGTTGACATAAATGCATGATCCAGTTTTAACGAAAGAGCGCTGTACAGCCAGAGTACATCTTATTTCAGGGGCGTACGGTGAAAAATCTAAGGGGGGTCGAAACGAAAGCGCAGGGGGCAAGCTGAACTCGGAGCAATTTAGCGAAGCTTTCAGAATTCGCGGGGTGCGTTATTTGTGAGTGAAGCGAGTAACTAGGCTGGGGCTAGGGGGCCGCAAAGGGGGAAAAATTTACGTTTTTACGTTCTAGTGCATTAAGTTCAATACCAAGTCTGACAAAATAGGCCTAATTGTAAACGTAGTTTTTGGGCAACACCAGACTATATTCACTCAATATACCATGACCAGCCTATTGGATTGTGGAACTCCTGAATACGGGCATGTGAGCATTTCAGATTAAAGAATTAAAAAAAAAAGGGGGGTTTTTTCTTTTTCGTGGGATCGTCCCACTTTTAATTTTTTTTTTAAAGTAAAGTTATAAATGTATATACTGTATTGAAAAATAAACAATGATATAGGGAACATATAATTACTTAAAGTAACATTTTGTATGCGTTTATTTCTTAACGTTTTCCTTTCAATTTTATATTTTAATATACCGTAATTCTTTAACTTAGTTTTTCTCCATCGTTTTCCTTTCAATTTTATATTTTAATATATTTCTTTAACTTAGTTTTTCTTCATCGTTTTTCTCAATAACTAATAATTAAACTACGCTTTCAATACTAAAGGTAATTTAACTTACCTAATATTTACAT